CTTGAAAGCGACAGACCGCTGACTGATCAAGAGTAGATTAGTGTTCAGTGGGATCTTTTATCGGTGTAAAATGATCAGATGCAGCACGTTGAAAGTGTTAAACTTTGTGGGACTCATTTAAAAAAGGCAGCTGTGTGCTTTAGCATGAGTTAAAGTATTCCGGCTCCACGATGCATGCTTTTCTTTTTTAGTCAAGATCTAAAATAAAAAAATGAAATAACATCTAAAACTTTATTTTCTGAAAGATATTCTGCAAAGATGGGCAAATTTCTGCCAGCGAGCTAAGAAATTAAGCTAACGCTGCTCTAATGTTGCATAATGCACCCTTGAAGGCAGCTGTCCTCTGGTCGCCCCCGTTTCCAGCATCTGGGGGATGATGAGGGACTTCCCCGAGCTCACCACAAAGACGGGGTAGCTCATGTTAACAGCTTCCTCTGTCTGCTGAGACTCCCCTTATTGTGATGGATAGTGAGGGGAAAAGGCAGAGTGATGGTCCTTGCTTCCTCATCACCTATCCAACAGCAGCGAGCCGCTCCACTGACAGAAAGGCAATTACGCCGTCTTTCCCACACGCTCTCGTGCACAAGCATACTTATTCTCACACTACATAAACACAGTCCTTTACACACCAGATGGGGTCCCTGATGTCTGCCGTTGTCTTTCCTTTCTCCTCACTTCTCCCTCTTTACACCAGCTGGGGAATTCCAGACTTCCTTGAAAGCTCAGCATCTCCGGACCATGAAGTGAGTTTCTGTGTGAAGCATCGAAGATGTTTGATTTTGATTCGTGAAGTGTTCCCGTTTGGGTTCTTTCAAAGCTGAGAATGCTAGTTCTCCCATAACTAGGTTTGTTTTACACAGATCATGTGACTGATGTTGTGTCAAACTGTAAGCTGCACACTTTGAAAAGGGTGGATGTATAAATCATTGACATGAACAGAAATCAGGTATCTGAATCCAACTTGGAAGTTCTGCATCCCCTGGTGGATGGCTCCAGTATAAGCTTTGATTTAGCCTTTTTTCTCACTGTTCTCTGAGAAACTGGTTTTTTACTTATTTTTTTACTTATGATTGGTCACTCTGTTTCACATGTAGGTTAAACGTGAAAATAATCATCTACTCCTATTTCCATCATTGGCCTCTATTAAATAATAATTAAAAAATGTCTGTTAATCCAAATAATCATGTGAAGCTAATGTTCAATCAATCTGTGAAATCAGATATTATAATCCTATGATAGTGTTATAATAAGTAATATAACTTTAAATATTTACACTAGACTGATCACACATAATGCTGAAGTCACATGACACATTTCCTTTTTCTGATCCAATCAGAACCTTCCAGATCTGGCGCGAGGCATGGTTTTGTTGGTGCTTGTATAATCCCCTTTTGTGTCAAATTCTGATTCGACAGTAAATCAAAACATCCAAATTATAAAACTATGCCCCACGTCATCTTAGCTTCAGTTCCAAGCATTCTAGAGAAGTTATAGGAGTGGCCAATCCGTAACTTTCCTCTTAAAGCCGAAAGAACCTAACGACAAACTGAATTAAATCTGTTGCATATTCCACCTGCTGCAACGGTTCCTTCAGAATAAAAGCTGAACCATCACGACCCCTTCAGGGTCTCGCTAGATGCCAATAAACTGTCATGACCTGGGATTAACTCAAGACTGGAAGCATCTGCAATCGCTGCATGTCTGCAGGTGTCAGTTCCAAGAGTATCCAAGCTGGATCCCAGACATTCCGGATCTAAACGGGGACTTCCGTTGGGGTACTTAGACCAACAGACACCATTTCGCTCCCACTCAGAACTAATAGTCTCTCCGAATTTGCTGGTTCTGAACATATTTCACACACAGTCTTACTCCACCTTAGTTACATCATACACATGGTGTTTAAAGTTTAGAAATAAATCTTCTTACAGTCGGCAATAGGAAATAGAACCTACTTGATGTCTAGTAAGTTAGATCAAAAATGTTTCGTTTGGAGTCAAATGTTTATTTTACAAAATAAATATTTAGCTTCAATGTAAATATTTAGGTAAACATAAAAGATTTATTTCCAAAATTAAATATTTATTTTGTTAACTATTTAGTTCCAAATTCAGTACTCAGTTCCAAAATGAATTTTTCAAACCCAACTAAATATTTATGTTGGAGCTAAATATCTGGTTTGCAAATTAAATATTTAGCTCCAAAATAAATGTTGAGGTCACACTTAAAGCTTCAATGGCAAATTTGGAAAACAAATTAGCATAAAATTTTGTTTTCATGCCTCTTAACGTCCTAACACAGAATAGCTAGAAATACATTTTGGAAATAAAATTATAAAGTAAAAACAATAAGTATTTATTTCGCATTTGTCTACAAACCTCCACCAATAACATTGTTGAAACCAAAGTCAACCATTACACCATCTGGTTGTTAGACTCACCAAATTGCCACACTTCCTTGCATCCTCCGTTCATCATGCACTCAAGTAGCAGAACACCACTGGTGTGAGAGGTTCTCTGCTCAATAATATTTGAAAAGGAGAAACAGCTGGCTGCTTCTACTTCCACTTTAGGACAAACTTCCAGAGTCCCAAAATGAAAAACACCATTTAAAGTCTCGGACAACAAAAGACATTTAAACCTAGAAAATGGCGACAGGTGTTTATCGCTCTCTTGTTTCCTCTGGCAATGTGGGTTTCTGGTTCAGACACAAGCATCTCAGGGAAGATACCCGATGGGAGGGTTAAGTGTTCCGTGACATGTTTGCGTTCAAAATCTAGCTTGTTTGCAGATTTGCTATTGCAGCTTAAAATATTTATTTCCTAAAATGATTTTTTTTTTCAAACTAATTGTTTAGCTCCAAAATAAATGTTTAGTTTGTACAATAAATCTTTAGGTTTGTCCTAAATATTTAGTTTTCAAATTACATAATTAGTTTGTAAAATAATTTAACTCAAGATAAATGTTTGGCTTGCTAACAAAGTATTTATTTTCTCTCGCCAAAAATCTTAAACCCCCTGACCCGGGAGCCACGAACACTCAGGCAAACCAAGGCACCGCACTCCACACCAGGGGTGGCAGGGGGAGGGGAGACGAAGATCTATATCATCAAAAGAAGTCCCAGGAGAAAGGAGGAGTCAAAGGCCCCACCTGACGTATACAGTCATACACAAACACAGTCACACACTCCCTCCCTCATGCTCACACACACACATACAACCAAAGACTTACAAAAATGCACGCCGGACACCCACTCATGCTCCCCATACACACCCTATTCACTCTGGTCCCGGTACTGCTGCACATGGGGCACAACCATTACCGGTTACCAGAGTTTGACCCTTTCTGCTGGGGTGCTGATGAGCAGGCTCCCCCGCCCAACGCTGAGCACAGCAACCCACCACCCCAGACCCCAACCAGATGGCCAGATCTCCCTCCTAGCCTCCAGCCCCAGGAAACCAAGCAGTTTTCAAATTACATAATTAGTTTGTAAAATAATTTAACTCAAGATAAATATTTAGCTTGCTAACAAAGTATTTTGTTTGGTGCTTCAACATTTAGAAATGTCTGACATGGTGAAAGAATGACTTTAAAAAAACAAACTCCCATATCTTCTCTTTTGAAAGGCTAAATAACCCCAAATATTTCTGTTAAATTCTGACAGTTTGACTCCCGATATAGATGTTGGTCTTTTATTTTTCATTAAACATTTAATCTAAAAGGATTTCTGACAGTCTGACTGAATTCTTCACCAAGAGGTGGAAAAAATAATTGCATTGTTGTCTGTTTACTGAATGCTGGCTGAGGATTCAGCAACAAGAATTAACATATTAAGATGCACTTACGCAGACAACATCTGAGTGTAGTAACCAAACAGGAAGTGAAGCATTACCACAAAGAAATCAACAATTATTCATGTCATCTAACCTCTTTAAATTTCTGTTTCTATTTTACACTATTATACTTTAAAAAAAAACAAAGATAAAGAACAATAATCCAGTCAAGCTATTTAGTTTATCATCCAGTTTTTTCTTATTTGAGTGCAAAAGTATTGCGAACCTCTAATAAAAATAATGAAACTAAAGGCCAAAGATTGATAAAAAACAATCAGCCATTACGCTTGGGTGTCCAAACTTTTAGAAACGAGGGTTAAAATAGTTGTTGACTGACCCTAAAAATGCAAGTTAGTTGAAATCTGGGCATAAAACAGGTATAAAGTGTTGGTCTTTGACTTTATTCTATAGAAAGGGATGCAAATGGCTCCCGGGCTGCAAGTTGGACGTCACATCCTTGAATCAAAGTTTTAGTTTTAACTTTAGAGAGAGACTCCAGACATGCGGTGAACCCTGAATGTCTCTTTTACGTTCTTGGAAAAGACATTTTGGTGATGAATCTTACACAAGAGGGGAGAAATCTAAAGTGAGCATCGTTTCTCCTGCAGAAATGGACCAGTCATAGTGGAGGAGCTGCATCTTTTCTTGCTGCTCTATAGGTTCCTGTGTGCTAATGAATTATACATTTTGATTGATTCCCAACAGATGCTGGAGGGTGGGCCTTTATTTTCCAAGACAATAAACAAGGGAAATTATACACCAGGAAAACATTCAGCTAGTCTATAAATAGCATCTCGTCTGTTTTGCCCTGGGATGGATAGTTAGATTTTTACAGGTTAGTGTGATCTGAGAGTGCACCTCTGATGGGGGAGTTATGGGGACACTTGGGAAAATGGCCGTTATGTCGTGGTTAAAAGGAGAGAGATGCTTATTTTTACCTTTAAAAATGGCAACAGATGTGAAATCAAAAAAGGGGAGAAGCGCATGCACGCGCGCTGTCGGTGCGTTCTCAAATCCTTCTGCTAAAAAGCGCTCTCCATGAGAATTAATCAAGGATCCACACTACTACCGTGGCAGGCGGCCAGCCGAGTGATGCGTGTGTTTTAAACGGCCCCCGCATCCTGCTCATCTAGGAGTCCCGACGATCTCTCGGCTTTCCACTCATCGCGTCTGGCTAATTCCTGCCGTGTCCCAGCCACCCTCCTCCTCATCATCATCTTCCTCGTCCTCCCCTCCCTCTCCCCTGTAAGTTCGATGAGATCGGCTCTGGGCCCTGCCGTGAGTTCTCGGTGCGGGCGACAGCGCTGCTGAACATGGCGTCAGACGGGATGATTTTAACGAACCACGACCACCAAATCCGGGTCGGAGTCTTGACAGGTAAATGCGCGAGCGCCCGGTCGGTTCTGTCACATGTCGCTCATCTGTCCATGGAGTCATTTCCACAGCCGGCTGTGCGTCTGGATCATCATACATGTCTGCTGGGTGCTTATTGCTTAGCGGTGTCGGTCTCCGGGTTTTTATTTATTTATCTGCAGCCTCAATTGGAGCAAACCGATCTGGATTCTTCTTTTCCCGGTTTTCCATCCCCATTCCAATGCCTTGGTTTCAATGTAACGCGTTTTGCACGGTTTTGTCAGCTGCTGTAAATTTCTCTTCACCCCCCCCCCCCCCCCCGAAGAAGAGCTCAGTTTATGAGTATTGAATAATTCATGTGCATATCTGCTTGTCAGAGCTGAAAATTACAGCTGAGCGCACGTTTGTGTCGCTGCTAAAGATGATCGGGCTTTAAATTGCGTTATTGACACCCAGCTGACCACAGCGATTTTTGAAGTGTTGCTCACGACAGCTGCTTAAGGTGGATGAGGAGCGCATCCTTGGCCCTTTTTTTCAGTAGCTTGTCTGATGCGGGTTTGTGGTTGTGTGTGTGTGGGGGGGGGGGGGGGGGGGGGGGCTGCGAAGATGCTTAACTTGTCAGTGACAGCACTAAATGAGAAGTTGCCTTGACAAATGATAATAACCCCTCTGGTTGGCGTTGGTGAGACTGCACGCGGTAAATCCTTCTGACATCCTTTTGCACGATGACGGCGCGTCTCGCGCTCATTGGAAACGATGTGCGTTTGGATGTGCGGCAAATTAAGCGGATCCCCCTTATTGTGTGTGTGTGTGTGTGTGTGTGTGTGTGTGTGTGTGTGTGTGTGTGTGTGTGTGTGTGTGTGTTGCGCTGAGCCTATTGCTTTGTCATGGTTTGTGAGCATCTGTCGCTGCGGTCCTGATCGGAAACCAAATCAAACATATGTTTGGGTGGAAATATCATGGGGGGGATTCATTATAAATGCTGTCCAGAGACCCCCTCCCCGTTTGTCCATGTGTATGTGAGGCTGGGCCGATCAATATTTCATCTCTCTCTCTCTCTCTCTCTCTCTCTCTCTCTCTCTCTCTCTCTCTCTCTCTCTCTCTCTCTCTCTCTCTCTCTCTCTCTCTCTCTCTCTCTCTCTCTCTCTCTCTCTCTCTCTCTCTCTCTCTCTCTCTCTCTCTCTCTCTCTCTCTCTCTCTCTCTGTGTCTCATATCGCGCGGTTTTCCTCCGGATTTTCATAACAAGGAGGCGGTGGCGGTGTGTGTAGCGATGGAGGAATGACTACCCTCCTCTGAAATCTGCCAGGGAAACCCCCACCACCAACAGCACCACAATCGCTCGTTTCCTTCTCCATCCCTCCTCCTCCCCTTGTTGAAGTGAGGGAGAGCGCTGTCCGTGGTGCTGAAATCTAGCGTCACTCACAAATCAGTGCGGTACTGATTGTAAAGGGAGAATACACCCATCTCAGCTCGCCTTTCTCCGTTTACAGCTTAATTATGTTCCAACAGAGAGGGCTGTGATGTTTTTGTTTGCATATAAACTGCCAACAACGAATCTGTAGTCGTAGTAAGTTTTTTTATGTGAATTCTGTGCAGAATTACTCTTTAATGCATGCACGATTACCAGAATTGTCAGCTATAACTGAATAAGCTTCTTCCCTGTTTTATAATTGTACATTTATGAAGTACAGTGTTTATAAAACTAATAAAAAATAAAACATTTTCCCTTTTTTGAGGCAAGTTGCAGAATGTTTTGGCCCATTACAGCAAATTAATAATTGTGTCATCAAAGTATGATACAAAAGTATTTTTTACTGTGTGCTGTGTAGCTGCGTAGCTGTGAAGCTATCAGATTTGATGTCTGAATGCTGAAGACAAGCCTTAGTTTTCTCTCACAGGTGGGGCGTTATAGCTTCTGCGATATAATGCCACGCCTGATAACAAAACTTTATTAGAAATATTTTCAGTGGTTTTAAATTGCAAAAAACATGAAGAGAAAATAAGAGGTGTGTGTGTGTGTGTGTGTGTGTGTGTGTGTGTGTGTGTGTGTGTGTGTGTGTGTGTGTGTGTGTGTGTGTGTGTGTGTGTGTGTGTGCGTGTGGTGGGGGGTTAAAAAAACAACTAATAAATTAACAAGAATGTACTTCTAGACCTGCAGACAGAGAGAGAAAATGGCATATATAACAGTAGCCTGTTTTACTGAAAAGTATATGGTAATAATTCATAGTGCAATAAGTGCCAACCACTGCCTTAGGACATGTGTTTAAAATGCCCAGGTCCATACTTGTAACAGCACCATGTAAGCACCTGTGTGCGTACATGCTTTTGCGTAAGGTAGAGTGTCCAATAGTGAGTGAGGGATCACAGACCTGCCCCCAAGGATGTGCAGAAGCTGGAGGGGTTCTATGCCTCAAAGATCTAGAGGTCTCCCCGGAGCATGGAGACCCCGGGGAGACCACTACCGGAGAAGCCCCAACCCCCTTTCCAAGAGGTTTAGCAGATTACCCCAAGGGGCGCAACTATCAGCCACGCCACAGCCCCAGGAAATAATGGAAGGGCCTGAGTCCCACCTGCAGCTGCCCACCTGCAGCCGCCCACCTCTGAGCAGGCCAGGCTTGGAACCCAGCCACCCGGAACCCAAAGGCGTACAACCCCAGTGAGGACCCGACAAAGCCCAGGGATCATGACCCCTCTAGGCAGCCACCAGGTGCGACCTGAGAGATGCCACAAACGTCCAGCCTCCAACTCGGGAGCTGCGAATATGCAGGCTGACCGAGGCACCATCCACAGTCAAAAATATTTTGGTAGGGGGAGGGTAGGTGAAGATACTGTAGCACCACAAGATGTCTCAGGAATAAAGGTGTGTGTGTGTGTGTGTGTGGGGGGGGTCCAGGACCCCACCTGACAGATACAGTCAGTCACACACAAACAGTCACAAATTCCCTCCTTCATGCTCTCGCATGAACACACAGAGGGCACAATTGTTTCTGGACCCCAGAGCTAACCCTGTTCTACTGGGGCAATGATGAGCAGGCATCCTGGCCCAATGCAGAGCAAAGTGACTCACCACCCAATACCCAACCAAACGGCCACCTCCCACTCCTAGCCTCCAGCCATGGGCAGCCAACAGAGAACAGAGGTGTGATGAGACCCATAGTCTCTCGCCGGCTGCTCCAATGTGGTGTTTATGCATGCTAAAGTGCATTCTGTGGTTGGGAGGGGGGACAGTACAGGCATCGTCTGGCCTACACCAGCTAGCGCCAGCACACAACCCCAATCCCCCTCACAACCCTCAGTGTCCAGGTGTAGATTGAAATTAGAAGTGGACACCGGCACTTGAGGTGAGGCTGAAAGATCCCCCCGCCAGGTGCCATTGAGTGTGTTCACCTCCAAGGCCCTAAGTGTGCATTTTGCTTGGAATGTCGTTGGTGGGGGGTGTTTAATGTGCAAATTAAAATTGGGGTGCAGGTGGCCACTGGACTGCGGAAATTTGAACCATACCCGCACCCCCCTGACTTACTCACACCTCAATGCTCTTTGTGCACGTTTGTGTGGTCATGTGAAGGAACAGGAGGAGGAAAATTTCTGAGGATGGGGAGGAATGGCTGGGTCCCTAGACCCTCCAGGGATCCAGCTCCCCCACTGTCCCCAATAGGCACCCCCCATTCCCATAATCCACCCGGGGCATGGAGACCCCTGCCCATCTAGCAAGGACCCAAAGCAGCAGTATCGCAGAACCCCATGGAGCCAGGGGCCACCGAATCAGCCCCGCCCCAGCAGAATATTTTTACCCACTCCTGCATTTGGTCAACTTCCAGACTACGTAAGATATAAAACACCCAGGTAAAGTAGTTTGGTTCTCCCCCTCTCGGACATCCCCCTCCCCCGTGATGAAATGGAAGTGTTTCTGCTAGTCCAGGAGGAACCAGGATCCACCCGAGGCCCCCGAGCCAGGCCAAGACACTGCTGAATCCTCCTGCCTTCTGCCGGCAGCATACAAGCCAGGACCCAATAATCCAAACCCAGTAAGTCTCAAGTGTAGTATAATCCCACTAAAGTTTAGTCATTCAGAACCATGTAAACCAGATTTGTTTCAATCAGGACACCATCCAGGTTTCCTAGCCAAAAAAAAAAACATGAGGGGGAAGTTGGAATATCACATTTCAGACACTTTGACATGTCTTCACACACTCTGCATCAGCATCCCTGAACAGGTGGACAGGACCACAGTGCGTGGATATAATTGTCTGGAGTATTGTCTGTACAGTGTGCACAGATGTCAGAACTGTGTAGTGTACTCTGTGCTGAATTTTGTATTGGGTTAATTGTAAATTGGAGTTCCTGGTCATTTTAAAAGTTTTTAAACAAGTCTGAGACCAGAAATTTGAGTTAAAGCAGGCTGATAGATCCACCTTCTACTTTTCTATAGGAATTGCTATTGAGTAAGTCTATTTTGACAGTGTCTTATTTACTTCAGACAGTAATTTGGGGTGGTTGAGATTCAAGAAGTCTAGCACTCTCGATGGTGTTTGTAATTGTTCTTTTTTAAGCTTAAATTTTTGTTTAACTACAGATTTAATCTGGTGATATTCTAAAAATCTTTTCTTATCCGTCCCATATTGGGAGACTATTCTGTTGAATGGGATGTAATCCAATCCTTCAAATGTTCCAGGTATAGGATTCCTTTATACTTCCAGTCTGGAAAGTTCATCATTATCATATATCAAATAAATGTATATATATATATATATATATATATATATATATATATATATATATATATATATATATATATATATATATATAATATTCTCATAATATGAAAACTTGAATTTAAAGCCTTTAATCAATACTGAGAGTAATTTTACTATTTCAGCCTAGACTTTACATACAGTATGTGGCACTGATTGTAAAATTCGTTATATATGATGATTTAGTTACCATTGACATCTTATCTCTTATTTATCTAGGCCTATATGCCTTCCTATCCACTTTTCATAATATATCTTTTATTATTTCTGTC